CATCCAAAATGTCTAATTTTTCACTTCAAAGAGTTTTAAGTAAATAAAAAAAAAATTAGCACATTTTAAACTTCATATTAGTTACAGATAAACTGCAATACTCAGATACCAATTTTCTTTTAGCGTCAATGACTTCGAATGAACATTGAGAAAATACCCGTACTTCTACCAGCCCACTTCAGCACGTATAATTCTACTTACAGATTCAATTGCGCCAGACTTTAAACTACATACTTATACGCTATAAATATAATTATACTTATAGACTCAGGCAAACTCAAAATATTTTTCCATAACAAAAGTTTAAAATCACAGATTTATTTACAATTTATCCTAGTATTAAAAATTACTGAACGAATATCCGTAAATTATTAATGATTTTAAGCATCTACAAGCAAAAATAAGCGCATGTCACATATGTAAATACTGTGTATGTATGTATGTATATACGTACGTATATGTTTGTTTATACCAAATGACCATCAACAAGACTGTGAATGCACATTACTACAACGCAAGGAAAGCGTTTTCTGAGGCCACACCCTGTTGAAAAGCGAAGGACGAGTGAATGGACGCATGCTGACAGAGGATTTTTAAACGGATTGGAGGCCAAAGCCGCAGGCTTACAACAAGTACAACGATTGGAACAATTGCCAAGTGCAAGCAGAAATAAATTTTAATGTCTGCATATGAATGGATTTGTTTACTTATATGCAAGCAGATGTGTTCGTTTTTTTTTTGCTTTTATTATTTTTGGAATAATCGTATATAAAAAGGAAAGTTGTAAAATTAATATGGTCAGATGTGCAAATGCTCCAGTGAAAAATTAAAATCTTTCGTATGCTTTTAAAGTTGTCAGTATGGCTATTTTCTTAAATTCATTGGACATATACTTATGGTTTGGCGAATGCAAGTAAAATGATTGTCAGCTGTATTGCGGCTGGTAAAATAGATTACCATACTGGCTTCACTTTCCTTTCGCGCAAAATTCAAAATAATTTGCTATGAATAAGTGTGCATCTATTATAATTTATTTTAATAAGATCTTTTGTATGAGAAGATATGTACTTTAATTAAAATTTATCAAATACTAGCAGACCCGGCGAACTTCGTCCCGCACAAAATTTATTATTATTTTTTTTTATATTGAAACATTTTGGTCCAAAATTTTCACTAACAATTCGCGTTCATGATTTCCAGTGCTACATTTAGCTGCTAAGATTATACTTTAGTGGTATTCAAAAAGCATGGTAATGGTAATGGTTGTACGGGTTAGGCTAAGGCCTTTGTGCACTGCGACCAACTTGATCTATTGTGCGCCTCGTCGTACTTATATATGAGGAATCGAACCACCTCCTTCGGAGGAAGCCTTTGAAAGTCGTCATCTTCTAATAGGTATGAGCCTAAGATTTTGTGTCTGCTGTGGCCTAATGCTTCACAGTTTGTGTTTAAGTGTTCCATAAACTCTTCTTCACCAAAGCAGAATCTGCAAGTACATGTGCTAGATATTCCTATTTAGACAATGTCATT